GAGTCACTTTCCACATTCCTTTTCAGAAAACTTAGTTCACAGACATGAACTAGCATTTCACTGAGCAGGATGGACAGATGGCAAGTCGGCATGTGAGAAGACGTGAGCCTTTTGTGGGAGTGTAAATTAAAATCACGGTGAGATGTCATGACACATCCATCAAATGTCTTCAACAAAATATAGGAACAGCATCAAATGCGGGCGAGGCTGTGGAGGAACGGGCTATCTCACACATTGCTGGTGGTAAGGTAATATTGTACTGCCACTCTGGAAAACAGTGTGGCAGTTTCAAAAAAGAAAACAATAACAAAAACGTGAGAGTGAAGTGTGGCAGAATATGCCACCCCAAAATATGCCACTTTAGAATAAGGGTTATTTTGAGCTAAAGGCACTTGAAAAACAGCAGACACAAGGAAGATGCCCTGACCTCCCCTTTTTCTCCCTGAAAGTAGGAGGTGAATCTCCCATGGGAAAGGCACCTTCCCTGTATCAGGAGGAAGGAAGCCATTCTTACCACCAGAGGCAGGGAGTTGGTGCCAAGGGGAATCTGTATGAACAAATCTTGTTAAACTAACCCTCATCTGCCTCATCACTTCTCCACAACGAACTGCCCTAGCCCAGACCCCATCGTCTTGCACATTTTCACAACTTATTCTTTGTCCAACCTAGTATATAAGCGTTCAGGCCTAACTGCTTCTTTGGATCTTTCTTTTTCCTATGGGGTTCCATTTACATGTGCAAATCTGTGTGCTTTTCTCCTGTTAATGTGTTTTATGTCCACTTACCTCTTAGGCCCAGCCAGAGACACTAACAGTAGAGGTAAAGTTTTGCTTCCCCTGCATAAGGGCCATGTAACCCAGCAACAAAACCTCCGGGCATTCACCCCAGAGACATGGGAACTTGCTGTGCGTGAAGGGCTGATTCAGCACCTCTGGGGCCGAGGACTCCCCTGACCTCTGCTTGTGAGGGATGTCCAGGTTCCGGCAGGAATTAGAGTATTTCCCAGCCTGAAACTCCTCCTTCCTCATCTTCAGTCAACCAGACACCCTTCGTGGATGGAAAAACTTCATTCAGTGTTTTTATAACAATGACAAATAATAATGGCAATCATTACAATAACGATGAACAACAGCAACAGTAACTATTATTATTATTAACCTCGGGGGATGAATGGGTAGGGTTCAGACCTCGGCACACGCTCCTGGAGAATAACCAGCTACCCCTGCTGGGTCCCAGGGTGGACTGGAGTCGGAGCCCCAGGTTTGCACATGCAACATGCCCTGTGAAGGCAAGGGGTGAGCAGCAGGAGGAATGGAAAATTGCCGTAAGATGGTGTGACAGACCAGTGAGGACCCTGGGAGGGGAAATGGGGGAGGGGTGTGCATGGACAGGGACCCAGGTCAGGCACCCGCTGCCTGGTCAGTGAGCTGCCAAAGCTTCCTCCACAAGGGCTGGACTCCTGGTCCACGCCTGCCTACCCAGCCCCAGGCCAGCAAACTGTGGGCACCAGACCACGGTGCACAGAAATATGCACTCCGGATGAATCGCACAGCTCAATGTTAAACGTAAGAGAGAAAACCTCAGGAGAGAATGCTAAGCTTTTGTGTCCCCTGGAGAAATGTTCTTCAGTGTGAGAGAGCAGAAACCCAGGTGGTCGGCAGCCATCTGGTGTGGTGTCAGGGCAGAGCACTGACCTGTTAGAGCAGCCTGGAGTTCTGCCCACCTCGACCCACTGCGGCGGCCTCTGCATCTGCAGGGTAAGACCTTCAGGTTTAGCACCGCAAACCCAGGTATTTGGAGCCTATTGGGCCAGTATCACTGATCAGGTGCAGATGGGCCGGCTGACTTCACCTGAATTGTAGCTGCCAGGCTTCGTGAGAAATGTGGGTGCTGCTGGTACTGGCCGGCTGGGGCCTCGGGTGCACCATTTCTGCCTGGACACAGTCCCAGGCAATGGGGCCCAACAACCAAAGCGGCCATGAGGATGCGGGCCTCCTCCTGGCTAGGGGAGCAAGGAGACAGCGAGTGTGACAGCCGCTGGGCCTCAGCACTCCCAGGGTGGTGGGGATGGGACGGTGGGGTCAGGCAGGTCCAACAGGAAAGATTTGTAGGACTGGGGCTGGGGCTGGCCTTGAATCCTGAGCCACCCACCAGCAGCAAACTGCAGTTTTGCAGAGTTTGACCCTCTGGCACCTCTCTAAGGCAGCTAGGCTGGGACAGGACTGTCAACAGCAGCACCAATGCCTGTGTGTCTTGAGCAGGGCGTGCTGCACTCACAGGCTCCAACCAACAACATCACTAACATTTTTCCCCACTGCAAGGATCATGCAAACCCTACCAGTTTCATTCCAATGTTTTTAGAAAAACATACTTGAACACAGAGCTGGGAGTTTTGACAGGTAGGCTTTAGGAGCTTTGTCACTGCCGCCAGGACACAGGGATCTCCTGATGAGGTGCTCAGGGACCTGTGGGGCCCAGAGGCCAGGGGGTTGGGAGCACCTGGAGTGGCCAGCAGGGAGGCCTCAGAGCCACACCTCCTCCTCCCCTACTCACCCCAGCAGACCAGGGAGGGGGTATCTATCATTCTCTGCCTGTCACTTTCTTCTCCACCCCACCACCTATGCATTGAACGTAGACAATGCATGAGGTCGCGTTGTCTGGAGTCAGCCGCAGCCACTGTTCCATCAAAGGACTCTGCACCGGAGACCCTGGGCTTCCTGCAGGGGCTAAGCTGTGCAGGGCCCCAAGACAGTGAGAAAGATTCAGCCTGGAGACAGGTGGTTAGACATAGGTCCCTGAGGGTCCCTTTAAGGTCTCAACCCTAGGATCCCATGGGGTCCTATTGCTGTGGTTCGAATTTCTCAGTCTCTCCCTTGATTTTGCTGATTTTGCCTTTTTACAGATTATTTCCTTTTGGGTTTTCTGTACTTCCAGAGAATTTTTTATTGTAATTATTTCTGAAACTGCCTGAGGATTGAGATTTTATGGTTTTCAGGAGTTACGGTTTTCAATACATCTTTACATTCCCTCATCTTGTTCTCCTAGAAGCTGGCTCTATGCTGTTAGCTGTCTCCACACATATGCCTTTCATTTGTTAGGACTGAAGTGTCATATCCGAAATGGGGTCTAGTGAGGTAGATCTGCAAGACCCATTCCTTGGTTGAAGTAGCAAGCCCTGGAGTGGCCCAGCAGGTGCTGGTAAGCTGACCTGCGAGAGACTGACTATACAATGACAGAGCCCAGACTACATATAAAAATCAAACTCCGAGCCACAGTCTGCAGCAACCAGTCCCAAAGCCAGCCCGGGATCTGTAGCAACAGCCCAGGAAGCCGGCCTGCTAGAAGTCAGAGGTGCAGGAAGCCAGCCCGCTATCTCCAGTCAATCCAGGGAGCCTAACACCACCCTGTAACAATCAGCCCAAAACAGCCAGAACTTGACTAGTAACAGCTTCCCTAATTTTTGTCCAGGCTTCCAACTTAGAACCAACCAGAAAAAGTGAAATCTGCTGCCCTAACTGACCACACAGGAGACGCTATTTCTGGTCAGCCACCACAGCTTCCCCAAGCCAAGAGCCTCCACTCAGAGTGTACCTGGAGCCTCCCCTTTTCCCACCGTGAACCTTTCCCATCCTCTGCCTGTCTGCAAGTCTCTACCAAAATGCAAGTGGCGATGGCTGACTCCCTTGCTGGGGCCTTTGCATCTCTCATTTGAGTGGTCTTTGTTTATCTCCAGGCTGCTTCCCATGCTACTATAGATGGGCATTTCCTGCCCAACCAGAAAGATTTCACGTGTATGCCTGGGGACAGGGCGTGCCCAGGTGCATTTCTCCTGCCTCCTCCTCTCTTTATCCCACAGTCTTCCTCCTCACCCAGCTAGCCACAGGTGTCCACACGGAGCACAGTCTGAGGAGAGGCGGGTCAAACACAGTCAGGTTCTAGGCGGAGCTGAGTAGTGTTTGACAGGAGCCAGGTTCTCCCCTAGACAGATCTTTACATCATAAAAATGATTTTGTACTTGAGGATGTTGCTTCAGATCCACCAGGCATGAAGTCACCACCTGAAATTAGGAAGAAAATATCCAATAAAGAGACCTTCTTCACTCCAGCATCCCTCTCCCCATGTGCCTTCTGAAGCTTCTGCAGCAAGCCTACAGACAGGTTCAGAAAGTGTTTCTAATAGGAGCAGAACAGCTCTAACACACACACACACACACACACACACACACACACACACACACACACACTCTCAACATGTGGGAAAGATTGAGGAGAGTGATGGCATGCAGTATCTGAAGGAATCTAGTCTCGAGGATTAAGGGAAGGCTCCCCAGCTGAGTGGGAAAGGTGAGCATGTTCAGCCTCTCAGAGGCGTGGATGGCAGAGTCGTCCAGGCAGAAGACAAATGCACAAGGCTTGAAGCCGGAGCAAACAGCTTCCATATGCAGGAGCCCAAATACCAGGCGCTTCTATGGCAAGTCCAAGAGTGAGGCAGGAGGGGTCAGGGTCCGGCATGCCAGGTCAATGACTTCGTGGGCCCAGCAAACCAAGCTAGGCAAAGAGGGGCATGTTACTTCCTTATAGTATTTTTAATTAGAATAGTAATATTTTCTCTTTAATGCAAAGAACTTCTTAAATAATACCTATCCCAAGCCCCACTATCCAGAGACACTCACACTGCTAGAGTTTTTAATGTATCCTTCAAGAGATATTTTCTATATAAACGGAAGGCTGAGATGTATATGCCGTTTTTTGTGGTCTCTTCCACCAAAACTTCCTCAAAGGTATTAAGAGCACAACACTTGAAAGCATGTTCATGTGTCTGTTGGCTGCATAAATGTCTTCTTTTGAGAAGTGTCTGTTCACATCCTTTGCCCACTTTTTGATGGGGTTGTTTTTTTCTGATGTTTTGATGTTCTTTGTTGGTTCTCTGTATTAGCCCTTTGTCAGTGTGTGTGTTTTAATTTTCTTGGTTATGTGTGTTTGTTTTGTTATGTGTTTTGCTGGCTCGTTAAGCCTAGTTTAATTAGATCCCATTTTTGTCTATTGTGTCTGTGTGCGTTGCTTTTGGTGGTTTTAGACATGATAGTTCTCTTGCCCATGCTATGTCTCTGAATAGTATTGCCTAGTTGTTTCTTCTAGGGTGTCTTTATGGTTTTAGGTCTCAACTTAAGTCTTAATCATCCATTTGAATTAGATTTTGTATAGAGGTGTAAGTAAGATCCAGTTTCCGCTTCTCTACACAGTATATGCGCGGTGTTAGCAAGTTTTTCCAGCACCACTTTTTATGTGTGAAATTGAGGAATCCCTTTCCCCATTTCATTGTTTTTCTCCAGGTTTGTCAAAGAGTCAGATGGTTGTAGATGTGTGCAGTGACATGATTGTATATCTGAGAAACCCCATCATCTCAGCCAAAATCCCTAAGCTGGATAAGCACTTCACCAAAGTCTCAGGGGATACCAAAATCAACGTACCAAAGAATCACAAGCATTCTATACACAATAACAGAGGAACAGAGAGCCAGGAAATAATGAGTGAACTTCGTTCACAATTGTTCAGAAGAGTAATAAATACCTAGGAATCCAAGCTTACAGGGATGTGAAGGACCTCTTCAAGGAGAACTACAAACCACTGCTTAAGCGAACAAAAAGACACAAACAAAAGTGCGAGAAGCATGTCCATGCTCATGGAAGGAAGAATGCAAATCTTGAAAACGGCCGATAGCTACCCAAAGTAATTTATGATTGGATGCCATCCCATCAAGCTACCAATGACTTTCTGTCACAGAAATTATGAAAAACTAAAGTTCATATTGCAACCAAAAAAGAGCCAGCCATTGCCAAGTCAATCACTAAGCCAAAAGAACAAAGCTGGAGGCATCATGCTACCTGACTTCAACTATCTATAAGGCTTACAGTAATGAAAACAGCATGGTACTGGTACCAAAACAGAGAATATAGACCAAAGGAACAGAACAGAGCCCTCAGAAATGAGTATTGGATTTTTTTGATTACTGTTATAACATACCAGCATAACCCAATGGACCAATTATCTTTCCAGTGACCAATATATGATGTCACAAGAATTAATGCCCGGCAATAATTGCATGGCCATTAAAGAAAAATTCAAGAAGTGCCTGGAGATCTCTCAATGTTACTCTGAAGTTAAACCAGAGCATAAAAAGGCATTGTTAAGATTCCACACTGCAACTAGCCTTTCAAAAGCCAATCATTCTCAGGTTTTGGTGTAGTGCCAGAGACTAACGTAAAAACTACCTAAAAAAGGGTCTACTGATAAATACTTGGGTTTTCCCTAACATATCTGCTTAAGGCTGGAAAGTGTTCGCTTCTAGT